GCGCTATTGTATCTGTCGTTTTGATTCTGTCAAAGTTGCCAGCCTTCTTGATATGATGTCTTCGCTAATACCTAATAATGCATTGATTTCTAAGCATGTCGATATCACTAACATGACAAAACTCGTTAAATAGTGCACCTAAAAGCGAGCTTTTTTGGGTGGCGGGTGACAAGCTTGTGAATTGTCAAATGCCTGATGTAAGCCAAGCAGATCTTCTATCACCTCTTGAAACGTACCACTAATTTTCCACAATACATGGCGGCTTGCACCACTATGTAGTTGTAATTGAAACTTTCAGCAGTCACGCATCAAACGGGAGCAACACGGAAACAGCAGTCAGGTACGCTTTGGATGTTATCATACTTGCAGACCGGATTGAATGTGTGAGTTTAAATTTGTGATGCATGGGTGCCCAGAGCGTGCATTTCTCGCTGTGCACTTGGATATCTATTGCAGGCAAAGAGAGTAATGGAGAAAGAGAGCACAAAAGCTCGCTCTCACTCTCTTGTCAGTTGCAAATCTCTCAACTACCCTGGTTCTATTTGATAGTGTTGTTCTGATGAATAAAGAGTTGATTGATTCAAGTTTGTTACCCAGGGGACTTTATGAATTATCTCTAGATGTTGACACTGTTTTGTATCAAAAAATGTTTTCGGAAGTGTTTGACGGATATTCTTCATTACGCTTCAGTCGAAAGAGTTAGCCTTGTTAAGTTAAGTTTTGCAATTCCTCCTACTTCGGTTAGCGCAAAAAGGGCCATACAAGTTTTGTTTACACAATATGATAGGCCCTTTAAATGTTACATTAAGTAGTGATTAATATAGTAACTGAGCATATTTCCCTCGAATTCATGGAGAATTGAAAAATAAAACAAAAACTAATATGTGGTGGTAAGCTACAACGAACAAAGTTTGGTGCACAGGTAAACAAATGAGACACACGACGCCTTTGATTATTATGTATGGTGCTATTGAGCAAAAATGTTGTTCTTTCTCATATAGGGTTACGGGATGTAAACTAGGCCTAGGCCCTCAATTCGGCCTATCAAGCAAACATATCCTTTTTCAGCAATAAATCCCAATTTCAATGACACACAAATTTCACTGCAATTATATTTTTCAAGAACTTCCTAAGAAGTAGCCCAGGATTACTTCTTAGAATGGTCTCCTGAAATTCCTTTAAACTCTTCAAAGCATTTATTTCCATTCCGTAGTTTCTGCAGAGTTCAATTCATTTAGATGTTTGCATAATAATCATTTAATTAATCCTCATTATTGGATATATATTTGCTTAAGAATTCCTTATAATTTATCATCAGAAGACCCTTACTTCTCCTTAAAATTAGCCTGGAATTCTAGTCACAACCAATCTTTTCTTCAGAATATTGAAATAACCAAGATTCAGTATCTATCCAAACTATCTCTAAAATCCAAAAATCTTTAAGATTTAAGTACCTATTCCATATTTCAATTTCAAAATTCAATCTCACATTTTTCACACTTCAATCTTATGAATCATTTAGTTCGATTGCTTTCGGTAGGTGGTATTCGGGAAATTTGTATTCTGTATCTTTGAAAGTGTCCTTAACCACAGGGATACACAGGTAACCAAGAGGCATTAAAAGCAGCACGTTATCAGCAGAAAATGCTACTTAAAAACCAATGTTGGCCGAATATACGGCTGCTTTACTGCTAGAGCGTGAGCATGAGTATGATTGACAGCTCAAGGATGATGCTCTGTTATTGCCAGATCAGCTGTAATTACCCAGAGACGATGCGTGGGAGTAGCAATCATCTTCATTGTGTAAAAACTGGTGATGTAAAACTAGTAAATACCAGCGCCGGCCGCGTCCGAATGCAGGCCAAGAAAGCAATGGGTAGGAATGTGTTGACGTGATACCCGCCATGTTGGAACCCCAGAAATCTACTTTCTTTTTTTTTATTATAGAGATTTTTAGAAATAGGCTAGTTCATCTCTTCGAGAAATCTACTGTACTTCCACGATAAATCACTGGGATATTGGATAAAAGGGTTGGGTTCCAGCAAGATTCGTTTTGGTACACGATAACTTGAATTGATATCCTAACGATCCTATAATGCAAAGGAACTTGGGATTGAATCCACGGCCTTCAGCTCAGTAAGCAAAAATGTTTGCCACTAGGCAAACGAGCTCCTTTTATTACAACACACCAACGATCGATTTGTTGTTATTCCAATGCATTCATATTAACAAATAAAGTAATTAACGAATCTTGAATGCGAATGGGCTTGAGATTAAACTCATGAACTCATGTGCTCATTAAGCACAAACGGTCGCTCTAAGGCCACCGAGCCCCTCATATCACATCATACAATGTACGATCGCGTTGTTGTTGCAACCATTAAAACCCGGGCCCGACGATGACGTCAATGACGATGTCAAGTTTTATACGGCTGCTTTACTGCTAGACCCAACAAACTGACGCCATTACTGTCAAAAATTTGACAACCTTTGCACAGAGGGTAAAAATTGACAAAACCGCGACTAAACTGAATATCTCGGCTGCCAAACAGTTTCAGTCAACATGTTATACATATCCTCAAACGAAAAACTCTGCTGAATCGATTGGTGGTGGTCTCATTGGCCGGAGAGTTTTTCGTACCGAGATAGAGGACCGGGATCAATCCCAGTTCCCGGAAACGTAGAAAATGCCACTATCTATCTACATAATTTTACACTTTACTTAACGTATATTACTGGAAATTGATAGTACTAAGTATATATGATGTTAAAACACCCTCAGCGAAACTCTACTGGCCTAAAGGAGGATCCGGAACGACCGATAAAGTTGCCCCGTTATAAAAAAAAAATGTCCCAGAAACTTGTGATTTTTTTCTATGTTGTTCAGAATTAAGAGATCAAAGCGTATTTAATATGTAAACTATATTTTGGGGTATAGTGGCCATATTCTGGTTCTCCGGATAATCTCGATTGACCGATTAAGTGGCCAGATTATAAAAATTGTCCTAGAACCTTGCGATTGTTTCTATGTTTAATCAGAATCATGATTCAGATGTTCAGATGTTCTATCGCGAAGCTTTTTAACAAAAATATGAATTCTGGAAAAACTTGAGGGATGAAAGAAGTCCACTCTTACATTTGACGTTCATGCCATTTCTCGATGAACATTCAAATGGTCCTATCTGTTTTGATCGACTCTTTTCATAGATAGTTTAATAAAGGAGGTTCTAATCTAGCGTCCAAAACGTCAAATACAACATGCAAAGATTTTGCAGCTGAGTTATTAACGGAAGAGAATTTCGATGAAGAGAATCGATCAATGCAGATAGGGCCTTTTGAAATGCATATCTAGATTTGTTTTGCGTCTAGAGATTAAGAAAAAATAAGATGTTTTGCCAGGAAGAGTCTATAGCATGTCCCTCAGAATATTTTAAATCCATGAAACAGTTTTCTAAACTTAGAGATTTTTTTATATTTGTAAGAGTCATGGAGTTTACGAAATTTTAAAATTGCTAAAGATACAAGCACATTTGAAAATGTTTTGTTAAACTTCCTATAAAACATTCACAAACAAATCTTTGGGGAATTCCGTATACCGTTTTGGCAACAATTCCGAATAATCACAAATGACCAAACGTTTCCCTTTTCATTTACTTTAAAAGCCATATATAGAGCTAAACCATTCTTATCGTCACATGATTTTAATGAACAATACTCTAAAATTCTCAAAAAAAAAAAGAGTTACAAAACTACTTAAGATCCATGATCTACAGACTGTACTGTTAGCTTTACGACAGAGAAGTAAATTCTCTACAATCAAAATTCCACATCGGAAAACTTCAACCGCCGCTCGAAAAAAATAAATGAAAACCATTATTCTTAATTTTCATAACACACATTTTATCGCTGTCCAGTCACGTCAGTCGGGCAGCACCGCGCGAGACTGGACATTATTAAATTTTAATCCTTTCGGCTCAATTATGTGAGGTGCTTGCCGACCAACGACGTGACGACGGCACACGGGGAGATTCCACTAAGCTCTAGCGCACATGACTGCACGATGCTCCGGCAGCGGCAGGTCCTAATCAAGGACTGTTTGCTAGGCAAATGAACTCGAACGGAGTTCTACTCTGCACCATGGTCGCGAAAAAAAATACAAATGCGCGACAAAAATTAATTTCCGCGATTGTCAACATTGAAGCTACTATACTGCTGCCGAGGGTTCTGTGTTGAACTGAGAAACGACGTGCCACGAACCACGTCCAAATTTGCGTCCCCGTGCTCGCTCGTAGAAAATGAACTTTACCCGCACCTCCATTCCCTAGTATTGTTTTCCAATTCTTTGGCGAATTTCCCCACTAGCAGGATGTTTTCCGAAAAACATCCTTGTGGAACGGGGGGAAACGATATATGAAAATTCTTTTCAAACACAACATCGCTCTCGCGATGACAGTTTGTAGGACGGAAAAAAAATCATCCAACGATGACGACGACCGGCCACCCATCGTAAACACAATAAAAATTTAAAATAAATGTCTAATCCTTCGAAAATCCTTCGCCGGGTGATTTTTGCGTTTTCTGCAGCGTACCGAAGCGCGCGCGAGGGATTTCGCGAAGCACTTCCGCGCGGCAGGACGAATGGAATGGGAGATGGGGTTTTCAAGCTAAATTTAACGGGTCCCTCCGAAGAGTGTCGCTTCCCGGAAGGCAACGGGATAGGCTTTTATCTTTACTCTAAACTTCCTCGTTGTCGTCGTCGTCGTCGTCATCGTCTGGACAGGATATGGCCGGTCATCTCGCGGCGACATGTTTTGTGCCCACATCCCGTCGCGTCGGGGGAAAATTTGACAGGTCGGATATCGACGGCGAAGGGGGGGGCAGGGTTTGTTATGGCTCTCAACCGGCAGTTCAAGATTTTTTATGCAAACAAACGGCCCGGCAAGCCAACAGCCCGAAGGCATCATACGGGATGGGAAAAACTTTCCGACGGGTAGACTTACCTCCACAGACCAACGTGACATCTGTCAGGGTTGCCGAATCGAACAGGTTGGAAAAAGCCGCCGCCAGGTTCGACGAGTAGTTGCTCCATTTGAGACAATACTGCTGCTGATCCATTTTGACGATTGACTTTGGAGAATTCAGCTTGACGGTTTTTGAAGCGGGAACAATGGTGTTAAGATGTTGTTGCTGCTGTTGCTGCGCTTGATGGCCCGTCACTCGTGATGAGCTATCGAAATCTGTAGAAAAGCAAAGAGAAAGGGAATTGTTAGCAAGTTGTAATATGAGTAAGTTTTTAAGTACCAAGCGCCCCCATCAAACTATAGTTTCTCATGAGCAGCCCCCCCAAATGCCAACCAGACAGTCAAATATTTATTCGCATCCGATCAAACGTTTGATCAACGCACTCTCAAGATCGCATCATCACGAACTTACGCATATTTGCACAAATCATTGACCGGCCTCCGCGCTGCCTGCCGATCGAAACGATCATTTATGCGTGTGGCATTAATCATCGCTTAGGTCTCTATGTGTACGGGGATGTGGTGCAGACGGTCGTTGGAGTGAGACCTTGGAAGATCATCGATACGGACAATTCTCACGTGCTTTTTCGATTACCTTTTGTCTTTTCGGAGGCTAGGCTCCATACGTTTGAACTGCTAGCACGGAAATTGGTCCGGCGCGGTCAGGCAAGGGGCGTTCCGGTTGATGAATTATGCAAATGAACCAAAGTAGTTATTGAGTAGTTGATATGTGGTTGTTATCCCGGGCCAAATGTGTAACAAGATTGATTTATTGATTTATCGTGAGCTAAGAAACCCTCTCGGTAGGTAGACGGTACCGTTTTGCTTTGTTAAAGGAAAACTGACGCAAAATCCGAGCACACGAAAATAAGTTAAACTTTTGTGTATTTTACAAATACAACGACGAAGATGATTAACTATAGCATATTGTAAATTGATTCACAAAAAATCCCGTACAAAAATTTGAACATTAAATTATATTAAGTATGATCATTGGGATGGGTCAAATTTGACTGGCAGATCACAGTCTTTCGATCTAATTCCGGTTTCCATACATTTTCCCATACAAACTTTAAAGTTCTCCCGCAAATCCAGATTGTAACCAAATTGGTTCAAATTTAGCACAGTTGTTGGGGACTTCAATACAGATCGATAGAGCAGTGAGAAACAAAGGTTCGTAAAATTGACCCACCATAATACCCATACCATACATTACGGAACAACAATTCTGCTTATGATGAATCAGGGTGTCGACTCAATGAAGAAAATCAAATTCCCTGATTTTCCAATAATTTACATTGAAAAAATCCACGTGCAGTGCTTACCCGTTTTTGGGAACACGACCCCATCAGCTATTCAGATATAAACTAGTGCTTTCTAGACTCTAGTTTCTCAAGAAATACACCATGACAACTGGCCCAGTACAGAGTTGGTTGGAAATTCTATCTAACATGAAGCTTTAGTGTGATAATTTATTAGCTAGACAATGGTCCTAGAAGAGGGTAGGTAGATAGTTCCGTTAGAGTCCGGCAGTATGAAAATTGAATAGAAGTTGAAAATGGTCAAATACTGCCTGCGGCTGTGGAATAGTTATAGCGACGTTTTTCGGCAACGTGGGGCTTTAGGTAGTGATGAAACGTCGTTAGAACTATTCCACAGTCGCAGGCAGTATTTGAGCAAAGTCAGGCGCACACTGTTTGCCTGTAGATTTGAAGACATACTTCAAATCTCCGCGTACATCGTACGGGTTAGGCAAAGAGTGTGCGTTTGACTTTATACTGTCGCATTAATGGCCCTCGCTCATTTTCAACTTCTTTTCAATTTTCATACTGCCGTACTCTAACGGTACTTTCTACTTACCCTCTTCTAAGACCATTCTCTAGCTAATAAATTATCACACTAAAGCTTCATGTTAGATAACATTTCCAACCAACTCTGAAAATCGCAAACTACGCGTATGTAAACACTTTGAATGGTCCAGTATAATTTCAAATTGGATAAAGCGTTCGATACATTTTATAGAATGCAAAAAAGGCAACACGCGAAAAACGGAAGGCATCGCATTTTTCTAAAGAGGCGAAGGAGGGGCATAGTGAACAGCTGTAACGTAGTGAGTTTCCTGTGCTTTAGCCTTGGATGTATTATGGTTCTAAACAAATTAATTGGTCAATAATCATTGCAATGATGATACAGAACCTGCAACCAATTAATTTGTTACGAACAATTAGATGTTTGGGACTGCTGCTCATTATGCCCCACCTGTTCACTATGCCCCTCTTACCCCTACAGCCATTTGAAAAAGTGGAAAACGCCAGGTAATCAGAGCAAGCAGTGACCGGGATGTTACTATGATTGATAGCTTTATGAGAAAGTTAGAAGATACGGAAAGGTAAGCACATATCATCATATGTTACTTTCCTGGATGTCGAATTTGGTTCTGCGACACGTTCGAAGTCTTCACAAATTGTCTATGAAAATTCGCTCAAAACTTTACAGGATTTTATTCGATTGTTGTCAAGCATTCTCTTAAGAATAATTTTCATTCACAAAGTTCATTTCACTTCTGCTAAAATAAATTCGCATGGGAATAATTCTCCTTCGATGCATATTCAGATAAAAAAAAGTGAACGACAACCTATAGAAATCAGTCTGACACTTAAACGTTCAGTTTTTTCCCAGATATTAATTGTTTAACAAGCTACAATTAGATAAAAACAGGGTTTCCCCACACATTTTTAACTCCCTTTACTACCAGTCTCAAGAGAGCCAAAACATTCAAATCCAAGAGCGTAAATTTTCTCTCACGAGTTCAATCGCTCAACATGCCGTGTATATTGATGCCACACGATACGTGATTTCCCTTTCACAGACTACAAAATATAGTACCTACCCCTGAAAAAATGTTGGAGCCCTTATTTTTGCTATTAGATGCACCATCCAGGGGCGGAGCATGGCAAGCATTTTTTTGTCGAATAGGAGAAATGCAGGTAATGTCGGCCTAAGTTTCCCTAATTTGGGCCCATACATAAGTTCAGCAATCGACTAAATTTTCAATAGCCACCAAAAATATCCATTAGTAACGTCCCAATAACGCGTTCATCTAGATAAAATTGATAAATAGCAGATTTTAAGCGATGGGCCCAATCTTAGATCCATAGGCCAACATTTCCGCTATATAAGAAAAGATTAACTCTGGATGTTAATCTAACTGCACATATAAAGATACCATACATGTGTTGACCGCACTGCCTTCTTTTAACAATTAACGGAACTAAGTGTATGCGTAATTTCCGATAGATGTCACCATTAAGCACAGCAGTGACATCTGAAGGAAAATTAACGCAGAAGCATGGTAACATGATTAATTATCTTCAAGCTTTGCTCAGAATTATCTTGAAGTTCAACTCTAAATTCTTCTGAGAATTGGGTGGAATTCTCCGTCAAATTATCTAGAAATTCTTTTCGAAATGCGCTTGGAATTATTCTCGGAATTCACAGATTTTCTTTGGAATTTTACCCTCTAAATTCGATTCCCCTGGTATTTTTCACGAATCCTGGTCTCCTCTCCACAATCGCCATGGAATTTTGCAGAGAGCTACTTACATTGTTTACTCTGAACTCACTCAATTGACTTGGGAGTTCTTCTCTCTTAGAGATTATCGAAAATATTCTCTGAACTACCTTGTTGTTATCTTTACAATTAATTTTAAAATCTGCTCAAAGTTGTTTTCTAAAATTCTTCAAAGTATCCTGAAAATCTAGTTCAGTCGAAGGGTCTTCAAATATTTTTTTTTTCGAATACAGGCCTATGGATCTAAGGTTGGGCCCATCGCTAACAATCTGTTATTAATCAATTTTATCTAGATGAACGCGTCATTGGGACGGTACTAATCTATATTTTTGGTCACCATTGAAAATTTAGAAATTGTGCCCAAATTAGAGGCATTTAGGTCGACATTACATCCATATTCACTCTTTATTTATTTTTCGATTTGTCGTCGGATTTCGCGGAATTTTCCCCTTTCCCGCGGTGACTTCAAATTATTGGCTTTTCCGCGATTTTCCCGATTTCCCGTTCCACTGGTCACTCTGCATTTTACATATGAAACACTTGCCTTTAATCCCATTACATATTATTATTGCTTTGAGCACATTTGGAGACCCTACTCCACAAGAAAATTATTCCAGATAATGCACTTAACCAAACGGTACTTCGCGGGCCGATTCCTCCGGAGGAAAATCGTATTAACAGTGCTTTCACCTTCAAAATTTGTAAGTTAATTCCATCTCAATTGCAATAGCAGCATCATCACAATACTATAACTTCACTGAGAAGCTAATTTTCCGTGCCCAACAGGTTAACAATGAAGACCTAGAATACCCAATAAAGCCACCCTATGCTGTCAAGAGAATGCTTGTCGACGTATATTTGAATCATTATTCCATGCAATAAAATCCAAGCAATAAAAAAATCCATCCAAGCAAGACCATTATCCTAAATTATCATTTAGTTGATTCTCTGAGATAATCAGGCTGTAAGGAACAAGAACTACAAGTATCCATAAAAATCATTCTCTTAACTTTTTACCGTTCTTGCATTAACTCAAAGGCGCTCAAAGGGTTGGGCCCATCGCTAAAAAACTACTATTTATCACTTTTATCTAGATGGACGCGTCATTGCGACGGTACTAATGGATATTTTTGGTCACTATTGAAAATTTAGTCGATTGCTGAGTTTATGTATGGGTCCAAATTAGGGTCATTTAGGCCGAAATTACATCCATTTCCCCTATGTTCTCGATAGCATTCTCTTTCAATTGGATGAAAACAATCCGCAGTTCCTTCAATCGTATGCCAAAGAGCGAACTTTTGATCTGACGCTGCCCATGAGCTTCAGCAAAGAATCTTTAGCGATAATTTTGGCCACTTTTGTCCAGTAATTTTCAAATTTTTCGATTGATTTCACTGCCTTAAAGTGTTTCCGTCGATATCACTAGGAAAGGGCTCAACAAGTTTCGATTGATTCACGTATTGCACATTGTTTGTTTTGTACCAAGCCACCGTGTCTTTCGAGTAGTACATTGCCACCAAATTTGACCAAAATAGTACTGGGCCATCATGTTGACGGATCATGGGCCGCAGACGCCGATTCAAACACTCCCGAACGTAAATTTTAGAGTTCATCATCTCCTTCGTCACAACTTGCCACATTTGCA